CAGCGATGAGATGCTGGTACGAGAATTACTGCGGCTAACGGTGGTCGAGGGAGGTCGAGAGGATGTTTCATCCGTTTTTGCTTGATTTTCCAGCAACCGACCGAAGTCCACACCCATGGATCCCAGCTCGTCATAAGTGCTGATGAACAGAAAATATGAAGCAATAAATATGACGACGTTCTAAATATTTGCTTAAACTTGCAAAAAAAAATGTTCTAAAAATTTTCAAATATTCTAAAAATTCTGAAACTTGTTACGACTCGGACATTCGAACATTTCGTCTCAATACTGATATTTAATTTTTTTCTACAAAAAAAGAGCAATAATTATTGATATGTTAAAAGAACTTAAAATAAAATCATTTTGCCGTATCATTAGGTAGATAAGTTAAAGTTGTCACGTAAAGATCATTGTTTGTATATATTGTGGTATACTAATAAAAAAACTCCTAATAATTTTATTTTCTTTCAATCTACAAATTATACTCATCTCTAAGTTTTTTTCTTGAATTCAAGGATCCAAAGATCCAATCATGAAATTAATAATAACATTCTACAAAACAATAAAATAAATACATGAATAAATGAGTCTTAACAAAGAAATTGTAACGAGATTACAATAAGATACTAATTAAAAGGTAGAAAGAAAGTGCAGTAAAATTATTCATACCCTTCAGCCTGGATAGCTCCGTCCTTTAGAACGATAATTCTACCGACATCGCGAAGATATTGCAATTGATGAGTGACGAGAATCCGAGTCTTGCCTCGTAAATATTTGTCGATGCATTCTTCAAACATGTGTTTGCCCACATGAGCGTCCACGGCGCTCAAAGGATCATCCATGAGATATATGTCGGCATCAGCATAAACTGCTCTCGCCAAATTTATTCTGTAAAATATCAGCGCTTTATCAATATGACTGATATGCTTTTTATAACTATTTATGCAACACAAAACTTTTCAAAAAAGTTAAATGGAGTTTGTACAATTTTTTCATAAAATTAATTTTATTTGGACAAGGTTAAACTATTAAATTGCATATATTAATTGTATTGAAATTTAATTAAAAC